ATGGAACCCAGAATCGTCGTTCTCGCGTGCTAAAGCTTAACACTTGGACTACTGAACCGGGATCCAACGGGGTTAATGTTTAACTCTAACCAACCCACGACATTACACGACCACCTTCCCCTGTATTCTGCTGGTAAGTGCTTCACAGCTGACATGGTTTAGCTCCATTCGTCACGGCTTCTCAATAGAATCGCGAAAATGTCCCCTCGAAGCTGGTCACTAATGAGCATATAATTATTGTAAGCAAAGGATAGTGAAGATCGTTGGAAGTCATTGAAATCATGAACTAATCTATGTTATTTAAGGTCACACAGAAATCAAAAGATCATGAAACAATGAATAAAGTCAAAAATAGGTGTTCAGTATTCGAAGTTGTACTATTATATCATGATGATATTGAGTTTTCCTTATTTAAAAATAGAGCAATATAAATAGTATTTTCGTTACTCTTGTCTAAATCAAGAATAAAAACAGTTACATAATAATGATGCAAGAAAATAGAAATAGAAAATCCCAACTTCGAAGGCGAATAAAATTTTATTTTAACCGTGTAATTTGCTTTCGTTCTTCCCCCAAGTAAAACGGTATTACTTCTACTGATGTGCTTATTTTTTTACTTAGAAATAGGTCAAAGATGGATGAACTTACACTTGAATAAATGTCAATAATAATTTAAAATTTTCTATTTATAACAAACACACCCCCAGCTTTTTTCTTTAAGAGTTATTTTAAAACGTCAAATTAGAAACTAAAACTCAAATGGATTATTAGGGCATATAAAAAGTTTCGTTATCATCTGGTTGTTCTACTAGTTTTTTCGTTCATTTAATAACTTTTACTCTATAAGGGTATTATATTCCTTTTGGTATACGGTTGTTTGGTTTTTGCATGTTTCCGTTTATGGATTGTTAGCTGTGAAAACTTTAGTATTATAATGGTTTATACATAACAATACTCAATATTTGAATTTCCAAATAAATAAAACTGTGAAACAAATTGATCGATTACAATATATGTATATATTAATAGTTAGTTAAGATATCTTTATTTAGAAATGGTAAAATCAAAGCATTGTACTAGTAATATTATTTTTGATCTTCATGCTGTAACCTTTTTGATAGGGCTATATATTTTGCCGAAAATTATGGTGCTAATAAGTATTAACTTTGTTGAATCTAATAAAAAGAATAAAATCCAATTATTAATAATCTTTTAATGTGATCCGATTTCTTATTATTGTTCTTTAATTGCTTCTTAGTGAACTACTTCAATAAAAAATAAATTAATAATTAGACTGTGACAGATTTCAGTTTGTTTCAGGTAGCTAATTATTTAGAGTAGTATCTATGACAAGATGTATTTGTAAAATGGACATGTTTACATATAATTATGAAAAGAAATATGGTTACATCAATATTGAGATATGTTCTATTGTTAGTAGAAGTTATGTTTATTATTTCCAAAGATGAAGTAAAAATTAGTGAACAGATTGTGAGAAAATGCAAAATCCCATAAACAAGTAAAACTTTAGATTTTGATAAAAGAAAACGTACGACAGAACAATTGAAACAAATTGACTTAGTCCAGTTCTAATATCTCCGTTCATTTGAGCTATCAACGAAAGTCATAATTAAATCATTTCCATTTAGATAGTAGATATATGCTTGGTTAAAATTACTGTCTTTCATGTTTACATGAGTTAACATGAGTGTTAAAATTTGGGCCAACTTTCTGGATGAAACTTGTATTCTTTCAGTCATTCTATCTACTTTTCGTCTGAATAGACTGTATTTCAACCCATAAAAAGGTTCTGCGTGCGCAATATTTGTTCTAACTGAATCAACAGTAATAAACTAACAAGTTTATAGGCTGGTATTTGAAGTACATCCAGTTATAGTGCACAATACTCTATTGACTAGTGATATATAGTGCAATTAGATATGATGGTGGTGTTAATATTATTCTTTATTTTATGAATCTAGATACAACGCACACATACTTGATAAGGATTCACTCATTTGAATATAATGTACAAATAATTTACTGATAATGTTATCGTAACAAACAAAATTTGTTTTTACGTCAAGTAATTTTGTTCATAACCAGCTTCCACTATTATTCTTTATTTCCCTCTTTTTTTTCATCTTAACTTGAGTCGATAACAAAACTTTTTATATTGCTGAGCATTATGACATATACACATTTGATTGATAGATAAATAAATAGAATGAACAAAACAGACAGATACAGAAAATGAATGCTTTTCTTGTATATTTATCAGTATTATTGTAGATATACACTTGTATGTTATGACAGATATAGCAATTTTCTATTTATATTATTTATAAAGTTTATTTTTTTCTACGATCTGTTTTTTTGGCTTGAAAATAAGATGAACAATTTATGTCTTATTATCATTATTTTTTTTATTTTTGAGTATATTTTTTTATTCGAGTTATCCATCTGTTCATTTAGACTGAACAATATATAAAAAAACAGAATTATTTGGAAATATAATTGTTTATAACGAAAGATTTATTATTTAATATGGAATACAATAGATTTCAAGTCAAATAATGATATACATCATTCCTTTTATTATCTTGTTCTTGTTATCTTTATAGTAATAAGGTTTAGCTCAATGCTCTTTATTTCATAATGTTTGCGTTTTTAAGAACTTAGTCGATTTAACAATTCAAAATATTCAGATCCTTCCAGAAGGCTTTGACAAGTCAAGTTTTTATGGGTAAAATTTTCAGTATTAGTGTATGCAGTTCATTCAATTTAGAAATAAAAACAATGAATAACATTGAAATCGCTTAAAGTTGACACATCTTTTTATCTATGTGATTCTACTAAGCTTTAAATACAATTTTGTAAGACGTACAAATACCCGATATGAAAAATAATTAGACTAAAATAAGTTAAATATTTTTGAGAGTTCGCTTAGTAGAAAGGTTATTAAATTAATTCTAAAAATATTTTAGTTGATTCTTTTAAATCAGTATAATAGTCTACAAATTATACACTTTTCCAAACATTGGTAGTTTTAAACTACTTAAACGGAGATAAATAATTCAAATATCACTTACTTCTTACAGGTTCTACTTTATTCACAGTGATAAAATATGAATAGGTCACATTAATCGTTCATCGATGTTTCTTTATACTGTTACTGACTATTTAGATCAAAATTGTTTCAGTATAGACTACACCCCTAAACATGATAGTGGTATGGGTTGCACATACAAATACTGGAGGAATAGTTTATTTAAACCAAGATGTTTGTCTCAATCTAGTTAAATATAGTTTTTTCCTCAGTTTAACTTTTATTACATAGTTCTCTGAGAATGCTCGAGATACAGTTTTCTTCAAGTGGAAAACAATAGCAATAACTATCTATATAAAGTTTAATTTGCTCATGTAATCGTAAGTTTTCAACCTAACAACTTATTTATTAAAAAATATCTTTTCGAGGTTGTGCTGCTTTGCACACAGAATCTGTTAGCTGTATATGCAAAGAGTTCCGCCTAAGACGAAAATTCTAATTATAAAAGGACAGAAAATTAGAATTCATACTTTTATAATATTGGAAGAGTAATGACTGTACAAATAATAAAAATGTTTCTATTTCATAGTATGTCCAAGTTTCAATAATTTTATAATTATCCCTTTTCCAAATTATATCTTAACTGGGAGCTACAATATACTACTATATTTGCATTAGCATTCAAGATTATTATAACGAAACTCTTGTCTGACTTTGTCATCTTTCTATATCGGTCGAGTAACGACGTAATAAGATAATAAAAAGCGAACGAAAACTGATAACGAAGTGATTTATTTCTGATTAGCTTTTCGCCTATTTAACTTGACTAAATAATTTGGTGGGGATAACAAGCAAATCGTGATATTTTGTGTTCTGTGATATTGAATATGTAATGTAAATTAACTACTGCATTCAGTTCTTATGTTATCTTCGGTGCATGATTTTGTCCAAGATTCGATTCTTTTTATTATGACGTTTGTGTCATTTTATTCATTTTCTAAAAAATAAATGAATTTCTTGTATATAAACAATTTAAAAACGACCTGAAAAATGTTGACATCAAGTATTTGAGGAAATGTTACTATCCAGTTACTAGCCTTTCTATTAACTGTTCCCATGATGTTTATGTTATCTTGATCACAATTACTGGTTTAATTTTGCTTCATGTCCAAGTTTTTATTAATTAAATTAGAAAATATTAAGAATTTACGAATTTTAAATCAAATATAGCAAATGAAGAAAACTTTATGGGTTAATTACGTAGTAAGTAGCGGTAGCTTTGTGGTTAATACACGAAATTTTAACTTATAGACTCCAGCTTTTAAACCAGTTCCTGTAATACCAGGAGCTTTTACTGATGTGAAATGTTCTGCTCAAAGCCAAATCCACTGACCTTTGCATGACAATTAAATTAAATTGAAGTTGTTAAATCAAAGGCTGTGAACAATTCTATAGGTTTGGGTGAATAAAAAATAATCATCCTCAAGGTTGACCCACACTTTATACATTTGATTCTTAAGTAAGAAATTTTCAGCTAACAGCTGATCAAAAAAGCAAATCTCACGACTGTGACATTAATAACAGAACGATCATTATTCAAGCGTATAACATGAAAGCAAAGTGGGGTGTTATTTGAATAAGAATGTCTGTTGTATGCTAAATAAATATAGTCTGAAAATCTAATCTCAGTTTTGTAAACAAATTATATCTACGTGCCACATCAATTTTATCGTTTCTTTCAAAAATAACTGTTTATTCACCTGTTAGTTAAGGAGGGCAGATAAAAATGTAAATTGCCAATACATGTAAAAAGCAGATATTGTTTTCGTAGCTAAGATAATATTGTCAAACGGCCAATTAGGAGACTAATCTTTTTACCAAAGTCATATGAATATTAGTCATTAAGTAATTTTGCTCTGTAAACAGTGAAAGTGTATATATAAATAAATATACGCAACTTCGATATAATGTTATCTAAAGATCAGTGTAAATCATTTACTTCTGAAATGCAGTCATATTGTTACAACATTGTCATATATTATTTTTGGAAGACACATTAAACTGTGGAATATCATGAACAGAACACTTAAAAATGAAAAAGACATGAGTATTAGAATCAGATTAGTCTCTAACTCAGTCGAATTATATTTCTAATCAATGATGTTTATTTAGGATAAGCAAACAAAGCATGAATTTATCACACCTATATTTTCCTTCTATCTGGTACGTATTTTATTATCAGATTACATTTTAGTTGTGTACAAATAGATAACTAAAAATGATTACCTTTTTAGTTTGATATATTGATTTATCTCCTAAAGTTCATACAAAGTTAAAAGAAGGTACACAGGTTCAATATCATGTAATAAAGGTATTGTATGGCTAATTTTCACCCCTACATCAAATTACAGTCTAAACGGAATTTAGATAAGGTTAACTTTATAAAGTTTCACATTAGATTCAACTTGACAGAATTTTCTGTCGACAGTATAAATGCACTTGTAATTATAACATTATTGAAACACTTTTGCCGTCAATATAACCTCAAGGTGGTAAAAATTTCCTTCAAAACGATGACATTTATTTAAAAACAGTTTGTTAGGTGTAGTTTGACTTATTAGTGTTAAAATCAGTACCAGTGTTGTATGGATCTGTAATGACATTTCTAATGATATAGAGATTTTAATTGTCTTGTTTGTAAATGGACAGTTCTGGTCAAGATAGTTAAAGTTTATCAATCAAATATACTTCATTGAATAATATTAATATGTGGACTTAACTATTATTTCTAAAATACCAATATAATTCAAGCGAGTTAATTAATTATATTCACGAATAATAATTCGAAAAGTTAGCATAACTATAGTGATTCTCAGTATGAAGTTGTGGAAATTATTATGATTTTGATTGAGACCATGAACCGATTGATATCAGACCACCGGTGAAAACCTGGAAGCAATGGACGGCCGTTTGGTTCCTCTCGCGGGATCTTGGATTGGCACTGCCGAGGAGTCCCACAATCGGACGAAACGGCCGTCCAGTGCTTCCAGGTTTTCACTGTTGGTCTAATATCAGTCGGTTCATGATCTCAATCAAAATTATAGTGATTCTGCTCATTTAAAATTATCCATAAACTTATATTTTAAAGGATTGTTCAAAGTTTGCATAGTATAGGTTAGATAAGGTTCCAATTTTGTTAAACATTCGAACTTTAAGAGTAATTAATTAACAATGGAGCAAACACTAGGTCTTAACATAGCAGTTATCTGTAAGCCACACAAACTAATGGAATATACCATCTGGTATGGGAGTAATCTAGTAAATCCTTCTACACATTAGATCCGCTACTCAAATACAACCGGCTCAAATTTTATACAGTAAACCGACCTAAATTCATATATATGAAAGTAAATTAAGCGGTGGAGATAAGTAACAACGGAAACGATAATCAATTCATATCTACCATAGGTCGTTTGGGTCAGTACGTAATTCTATGTTATTATAACCTATCTTCTTGGCAGTGGTAGTGTTTTTCAAAGGAAAACTTAGAGATGGATGCCGTTACTTGTACATCAAAAGTACATGAATCCCAAAAAGTTTTCGGGTCAAAGATGCGAACAAATGCGCTGAAATTCTCTTACATGAAGTCAAATTATATGAAATGTAGTACAATATTTTATTTGAATTCGGTATTTTCCTTTACGTAAAAAGGTTATATCATTAATATTACGTTCACATTCTATGAAATAAAATCGATTGTTGCTTTTTGTTGAATGAATTTTGCGGTTGTTAATAAATGTCACCAGAAAAGGCTTATAGCATCAGCGAGTTTTAGGTATACATTCACATATGTTTACAGAACATCAATGATCAGAAATCTAAAATAATTTGACTCAGAATCGATCACTCTAACCCAAATCAATGCGCAATAATTTACTCCACTTTCTGACCGTTTTATTATTTATTATTTATTTGTTACACTTGCTATTTATTTTACTATCCTTGTTCAGTATTAAAAGGAAGGCCTAACACTCTAGTAGTTGCCTATCCCCGATCAAATATAATTTTTAAGTGAAAATCGAGTAGTTGTACCACTGAGAGTCGAATAATTAAAATAATACTAACTAGTGATTGTTTGTTTTCCTATTAGTAAATTGGAGCAAAGAGTTTTTTTCTAAAGTAAAATCTTGCTGTCAGATGATGAATAGTTGCAAGAAAAAACTGTTTACCGATTCTTTCTGATATAATTTTCACAATTAAAAAGCGTCCATTAAAATTGATACAAAATAATTAGCCATTAAAATGTTCTCTCTATTTCAGTTTAAAAAGCAATTATCTAAAAATGAGATCATAATTTGAAATTACATTAAGAAAATATTTTTCTTGATAACATCTGGCCAGTTATGAGTAAACCAAAGTTCGTTAATTAATCTATGAATTCTGAATGCATAGGATAGAATATTTATATTTTCTTTTTAAAACTTATTCACACTTTTAATATAACTGGATTTACGTATTACTTGCTACCATCATTAAATCTAATACAAGTTTGATTAGAACCCAATATATTTTTCCGGTGAATAAATGTGCTGGTTTCATATATTTTCGATGAAATGTCTCTGAATGATGCCATTAAAGACAAGTGGATTTCGGATTGTGCAATTTATTGAGAAGTAATTTTCTCGTTTATTTTTAAGGTTGCAGTGTGAATGACTCTTAAGTGTAGTGTGGAGATCACCACAACTATGATTCGTAGTTATAACAGTGAATCCAAGTGAGACATAAATGTGGACTTATGAGCGTGTATGACAGCTATGACTTAATACCTCAGTAGATTAAGAGACGCAGTTATGCAGAATTACATGGTGATTGTTTCTCAAAGCCTTTTAAGCTTTTTCAAATTTTATAAGTGTCTAAATGTCAAGTGATTAGGTTGGCATTTATTCGCAAATCAAAAAAGAAGTATATATATATATATATATATATATATATATATATATATACTTCGATTACTTATGCTTTCCTTAGGATTTCTTTTACGGTTTTTCTAGTTACACTGATGTTTTAATTGTATGATATTCAAAATTTTATACATTGGTACCCAGGTATCTTAAAACATAAACATGCAGTTGTGAATAAATAATATATTTGTAATATCCCAATGAGTAGAAAAATTAGATTTTCTGAGATATTACAAATATATTATTTATTTATAACAATCTACCCAATGCTCAATTTATTCAAAATTATCAAATCAAGACTTGGTAATGATACATGCAATTGTGAAGTTTATCCGTCATATAAATTTAATTACCTATGATGTTGTTTAGTTTTTTCACCAACAGTAATGTTAACTTTGATCAGCTTAATAATAAATATAACACTAAATCTGGAATCTGAGCAAATATTTTATAATAAATGACTTTCGAAATTGGATACTTGGAATCAAACTGTAGCAGTAGTACAAACACGCAAACTTTTCTTTGTTAGAATATAGTTTAAATACGTCAAAATAACTTAGTTTTTCAAGAAATTAATAATATCCAATAAAAAGAAACTATTCTACTATTGATGAATATAGAAGTACTATCCTTGAAAATGTAACTCTAGGAAAAGTTTAGAAATTATCTAGCGAGAGTTTTCAAGGTGATCATTATCCCTTTTAGTACTTTGTAAGTTACTCTACTACTTTATAATACCCATGTGGATTCAGAAAGGTAAAGAAGAAATTAGTGGAATAGTTATATTCAATGAAGTTACAGATCATTCAAAATTTCAATATTGTTTATTTCATGAGAGTCAAAAGGTTACATTGCTACATTCAGGGTAGCATGAAATGTTGATGAAAATACGTGTACGTGTGTACTGACAGTGATCATAATGACTACAGTTATATGTTACTGATACTAGAAATCATAAAATGTTTCCTATATTCGGGATTTGTACTCAAGTTATCAACTATTGCACAGCTAGTACAGGCTACAATATACAGACCATATTGCACTTATCCAATACTGATAAATTTGATTCGCAAAAATAACATAGATGGACTTGTTAGAACTTATTGATTATTATTAAAAAAAATTAAACTTCTATTACTCGCATATCATTTTCGTTATATTATAAAAGTACTTATTTGATGATGATTGAAGGCGAAATAAAAATGATCTGTTTTGCCTCCTTTCGTTGCAGGTATTAGTAATACAAGTCCAGATACTTATAGTCTTTCAGAGCCTGGCATAGTTGTTTCAACTCCACACTATCCATTAGATAACATTATTAATTATAATCGGCAACAACAAAAACAACAGAAAATCGATGCTTCTTCACAAACTGTTCAGAAACATTCTTCGTGCTATATCCTTAAAAATGATGATAATAACCAATCAAAATATAAAATTGATTCTTACGCAACACTTGATCAACATTTATTCTCAACCAAAGATAACATTGGCAAGAATGTATACATACCGAGCATTTCTACTAATCACAACAGAATTAAACTATGTTATGATAAAAATATCCATAAAATGTGGCAGAAGTATGAAAATCATTTGAATAAAAACAGTGAAGTTACATCATCATTCTCCTTGTCAACGTCACCATCATCATTAACATCTTCACCATCCGCAACTTTGCCCTCATCACCGACATCATCGTCATCTTCGTCAACAACTAATTCATTAAAAAATGAATTGTTCACTGTTAGAATGAACAGATTATTTAAAGATGACTCATCTGATTATGATGATAGTGCAGGTGATCAACAAGATGAAGTCCATCGAGGAAAAACTCAAAATAAACACTCTACCGTTGCTATTCCTCGTTTGGTCAGTAAAAATAAATATCATAATAAAAAGGATTTGACAAGTGACAATGATAGTGTATCTTATCAGTCTCAACGCAAGTAAGCTTATTCCAGTATATTTTGGTAATATCCCACCTAGAATGACTATCAATTAAAAGATTTTATATATCAAGTCTAAATACAAGACAAATTTTCTAATATTCGTGAGAAGCAATTAACTTTGCTGTTTCTTAGATATACTACATTTAACGATTTTAAATACGAACTTAAAAAATTTGATTTATTTTGTACTGTCTTCACATATCAAATGCTTGGTCATCTAAGATATTCAATAGAAAATCTTACACCGTTTTTGATTTGACATCAGAAAAATGTTCATGTATAAGGTATAACTTGTTTAAGATAAAGCTAATGATTCCTTGAAGCATCTTATGAAAACAGGGTAACAAATGGTATTAAAACAGATACAGTAAAGCTTCACTTGAACTCACAAAACGCTTACTGGTTGAGGTATTTACACTGAATTCTAAATCAAGTAGTTTATTACTATTAAAAAGAATTTCTTGGAGAAAAGTATTGTTTTTAATTTGATTTCACATTTATTTTCAAAGTGATTATAAACATTTGTAGTTTATTGGAAACAGTTTAATGTTATGTCTTAAACAGGCACTTTCTTAATCGATCGTTTGAGAACTATTTTTTTAGATGATAAGACCAATAAGACGATCAGGGTATTCGTTGAGAGTAATGATAATATTTGATAAACAAACAAGCAATTCGACAAATGAAAATTAAAACTGTGGGTGATCTATTTGCATTGTGATCTTTGTGAAACGATACTCACTTTCCCATTCACGATTTAACAACCCATACTATTCTTCAGTAATTTTTCTTAACCTTGTAATTAACTGCTTAAAATATTCCCATAAAGCCTTTTGATCGTGACGGATAAGCACGTCAAGAGTTGAAAAGCTGATTAGTTTGCATTATGTTTTTTGTTGTCAAGATGTGTTAATTAAAGTTATTATGAGAATAAAGAGTAGCGAGTTTAAAATATTAGGAAGTTACAAACGCTATTAGAGCAGCAAAAGCTTTGAAAAACCTTTGGTGTATTGTTCATAATACTTTTATGATTGTATGTATTAAGCTTAAACAAGGTAGTTTACACCCAAAAACAAGTAAACAGTGTTTTGTCGAAAACCGCGAATTCATTGATTTTAACTGAAGTGTGACATGTATTTGAGAAAATACATTATAAACGAATGCATCTTTAAACTCTTAGCTAGTAGTACTAGATAAAATAGGTAACATCCACTTAACAAAAGAGCAGATGTTTTCATGTAATGTGTATTATTCTAAACTTAGAAAGAAACGTACAGCAGTAAAATGAGTGCAAAAAGGTAGAAAAATATTTTTTCAGATTAATCGTGACAGAATAGCCGATAATTTAGAAGTACCAAAAAATGTGACTCAGAATATCATTGTAAACTAAAAGTAACCAAAACAAAAAGTACCACGTTTACACAAACAGTTTCTTTAAAAAAAGAAATAAAAAGTTATTCATTAACCAAAACGAATAAACATTAGATCGTAATATCGGAAATGTCAAACATTTGGTCCACTTAGTGGATCTGAATAACTCAGTCATTTTCGTGAAGTTTAATTAATTCCTGTTGTTTAATGGTTTTCAATCATTCGAGTACAATTAATTTTTAAGTGTTCATTAGGTAGCGTAGTTGTGCTATAGCTTCATCACAAAAACGTGTGGTAATTTCATCAGGCTGTAAAATGACTTATTAAAATAATTCCATTCAAATTTATAAAAATCGGTGTGATCTTGAGGTAACTAAACTGCGATAAACATGTTGCTTAAGTTTTCTCATTGATGTTTAGATTTGCGATTGATCAGTCTTTTATTGGCATATATGCATACTGTGAGTATTGCCCCAGTATTGCGTTGATTCACAAACACTATAAGCAAAGATGAATAGTGGCTAGAAACAGAATCCAAGACGCGCGTTTTGTCCTATTCGGGGTCCATCAGCTTGATTTACCTGCATCATAGAGTTGATGTTCACTACGGGATTCGAATCCAGTACCGCCTGCTTCAAACACCAATGTGTTATCCACTTAGTCTCTTCGATTCTCACGCTCATGATTCTGAATGCGCTTTTATGAGCAGTCCTATAGTAGAACGAAACGGCCATTCAGAGCTTCCAGGTCTGAGATTTATTGATTTACGACTTGTTCATATGTGATGGAGAAGTTTGCCACTACAGAAATTATGGTAAACATCTGACTTTATGTTAAGATTTCCAAAAAATAGTCTTAATGATTTTCTTAGTCACTTAATGTTTAAAAACAACTTTGTCACTGCTGTTTATAATTCACTTTCCTTTTTATAATTTCTTAGCACAATATTTTGTACATCTTTTAATATGGCATATAGCAACCATCCTACAATCAATTTCGATTATAGCCAATTTCGGTTAAGCCCTTTTTATTTACTTACTTAACAGACATCGTCATTAGGATAGTAACAATTTGCATATTCTTTGCACTGCTATACCACTAGAGCACATGACACTCTATCCGAAATGTTGACTGCTTAAATATCACTCGATGGCTCATACTCCTCCCCATATGCGTACGCACGCAAATATTACTATCAGCCTTTGTTTCGCTTTGCTGTGCCCTTATTAAATTTGACTATAAATTGCCTATGTAGTTGCTTGCTATTCGCTCGCTTGCTTCTCATTCGTTTCCTTCGCTTGTTCTCCTGTTCACTCGCTCTCTCGCTTGCCGCTCGTTCGCTCGTTGATATTCGTTCAGGTGTTGTTAGCTTTTTTACCTGAGTTATTCGACAATAAACTGTAGTTGCTGCTATCCTTCGTCTTCTGATTTTACGCACCGTTAAGATTAGAATTATAACGGTTAACGAAGTAAGCGATTAACGAATCGCGGCACTACAGGCAGATCATTTTGATCATAATTGTATTAACAAACTATTAAAATTACTCCTGTCTATCTCTTCGAAGCCAAGACCTTGTAAAAATCGCATAGGAAGTTTTATAATCTTAGAGAGATGATCGTGGTTGTAAGCTTCTTCAGAAAATATTATTAAATAACTTCATTTCGTGATGCATGACGGGATAATTACTGTTAATGACCGAATTTTGAAAAATTACAAGCTTAAAACCAATTGTAATGCATCAGTTTAGACCTTGTACCGTATGAACTCTAAAATCTGTTGGTAAAACATTTTTTATAAGTTACTGGGTGACCATTATACTTAAAAAGCCTTAGTTGAAGTGAATGGTTAATTTTATAAACTCAGTAGCGTTGTTGTACTAATTACGCCTAATTTCAAACTTATTGGCTAACAACAGAGTTATGACAAAATGACATATGACTGTTACAAAGAAACGGAGTTCAAATGATATTACTTGCCACTAAATGGTAGAAAGAGTGCTCAATTTATGTCCATGGTTTAGTGTTACTAGTCGTATATCAAACCCAATCAAGGGATTCTATCTATGCGTTTCTCTGCCCTCCGTTGATTATTTTAATGCTTTGATACTTCATTTTTTAGACTTCATAACTTATTTTGAAATTTGGCAAAGCATTAGTTTAGAGTTTTTTGTGTTTTTAGCCAACTGGTCAGCATACCAGGAAACTGAGGAAAAAATTCCGTAGGTTATCTCTAAGAATAATATGTCACTTTATAGAATTAAATGGCATTAAATCACATATGATTAATTTTTGTAAAAACAAATTGTATGCAACAAATAAAAGAACGCGATAGGCGAACCTTATCTTATTCATCCAAATAAAGATGACTACCAGACTATGACTGTTTAGGTCACATATGCAATGGATTATTACAAGCGATCTTTTATTATAATCTTAGAACACTCTGATTTGCATGGAAAAATGGACCTTTCATTCGGACAAAAATACGCTACAACTAAAGGAAACACATATTTATTTTGATGATGATATTTTTCATGACCATTATTAATTGTATCAACAGGCGGTTTCATTTTATGGTTTTATGTCACTAAGATTTTAATTTGTGAGCCATAAAACTTTGATCGATACAATTCACGTTGTTGCTTCGCTGTAAATAATTGTGTTAAAATCAAGCGATTAGATCATAATACTAATCGAATTTAGTTGGTCAAATTGCACTGTAATCATTAATTCAAAGCTTCGGTCTGCTGTAAGGATTGCATAAACATGAAATTGACTACTACTTAGTGATTGAGCGAAGTGAATGTGATTATTAAGTAATTTCAGTCAACCAAACTATTCTGCTCCAAGTTCGTATCGGTGTTAGAGAAGGTAGAATAATAAACATAAATTGATCCATATCAGTTGTTGGCCAATCTGGTTTTGTGACATGACCTTAAAAAATCGGCATTAGGATTGTTTGCAGTTTAATGCCATAAATTTAAAGACAAAACTCTAATCTGCTATATGCAGTAAGTTCACTTGTACAATGAGTAAGGGGAGTTTGATCTTTTGTAACGTTGTGATGGTATATTTGAAAAATAAGTTTTCTGTCAATTGCCCGTATCATCAATAACATTGGATTTTTGTAGAAAATCACAGAAGATAGAATTCAGAGTTTTCTTATAATAACCTGCCAGCAAAATACAAAGATGTAAAGTTTCATGAAAACAGTTCTGATTAGTTTGTGAACTTATCTGAGTGTTATTACCTTAAAGGTGTAAAGTAAAAATAGGAGTATTAAAACTACTAGTTTGCTATCAGTGTATTTTATGTGATTGTGACGTTTGAAAATGTGCCGTAAAATGGCAATTTAGTGTCCAATTCATTTGGCAGTGTATTTAGGTCATTCACTCTTCGTATTAAGTGATAGATGTCCCTCCGAGTGTAGAAAGGAAAGATATTTATGAGGAACGAAATTATATCGTATATTATCATTAAGTGTCGTAAAACATACAGCCCATAAATTATCGTCTAAATTCTATAGTACGAACAAACGCCTGCATAAACAAACTACACTGATAAGATGTAATCTAGTTATACTATTAATAAGCGCTTAAGTTCTTTTCTACTTTACCTTATTTTTC